CCCCAAAACCCCAAAACCCCAAAACCCCATGAACTTCACTTAAAAGAGCATTTAGTAGAAATAAAAAGTGATAGTGAATGATTCAAGACTATAAACTACTAAAACATTATAAAATAAACTAAACTTAAAATTTCTTGAGTTCTAATGCAATTATTGATTTGTTAGTAAAGTATTTATATTAAAGAAATTAATATAAAGCATGAATAATAAGTCTGCCATTTAGTAATTCATATCTAATCTCAAAGATCAAGGACCTATGACTCCTGATATGAGTTCTCTCAACTAGAAACTCGTGAGCAAATTCTAAAATTAAGATGACCCATCTATCAACGACAATTCTCACGTGATACCCAATGGGAAATAAAAGATGAACTCATTCAGAAATAACGTACTGCTTCAGAGTGAGCCAAAAAAGAAAAATATTGCCAAGCAAAAATCTAATAACAATCTCGCGCAAACTCTTCAGGAATGCAAGGATAATCAGAGTATTGTTTCTTCGGTCAACTGCTCAGCTAACCAGCAGAGCAACCAAGAGATTGCTCACAGGAAAATAGTGAAACTAAAGAAACAATTGGCACAATTAGGAATGAACGATAACTAAAGCGTCAACACCAACAGCAGCAGTATGCAGACGACTAACAAACATCTTTAGTCCTCATCATAGTAAAGTATAATTACTTACAGACCAGATAGCATTTAATCTAATCTTAAGGGTTCCATTAACTAGTACTCAGAGAGTATCCAGGAAGTAGTAGTATTTCCCTAGAGCAACCAGTTTTTTTAAAGAAGACTCTAAAATCCAAATCAATCAAACGATTCTCAATCAGAGATTATCAACAACCATAACAATAATAACATCAAGGCAAGCAATAATTAATAGCAGCAAACTTCAAGCAAATCTAATCCTGCTAAGGGTAATACCGCTGGAAAAATAAAGCGTGATATGAGTCTTGATGCCCTTGATTACAGGAAGCAGGTATTCGGAGTAGGAAGCTCTGAAAACGCTAAAGATAACAAAGAAAGAAAAATCATGCATCATCAACATAAAGCTGCACTTTTAATTGGGACTTAAGATATTTATGATGACAAGAATAACTTTTTCCACAGTGAAGCACCCAAGAAAGATCCTAGGGAAGACATTCAAAGCAGAGAGACTGCGCATTTCAGGTTGACTTTCTCCTAGAACTAATGGGAATAACTAGAGGCGGCATAGTAAAACAAAAAAAGAAGTGGCTCAAATCCAAATAAGCACGTGAAAAATAACATATTTAATATCAATAATTAAGAGGAATCCGAAGTAAACGAAAATACATCTAATTGTTCGGGAAATAATAAAAAATAGACGTTTTCTCTAAAAAACATCAAATCATAAAAGTCCTTAACCTCCAATTACCTTAGTTAAGCAAACTAATTGTAAAATTCTGATAGTAGATAGAACTCTAGTCGTGGGGAAAACTTACCTCTGATTAATCCCAAGCATTTAACATTAGATTAGTAGTAAAACTTTCATCCTCTTGACTAACTTAAATCTGCCGTCACCAAAATCAACAATATGATACCGAGCATAGTAAATGAGGGGAAGCAGTTCAAGAAAAAGGCGCACTTTTTAAAGAGAATTCAAAAAGATTCTGCTGTTATAGGCAATTTAATCATTAAAGACTAGGTTTAATAATAAACAAGGAATAAGTATGTAAGCACCTTGCCATAGTAAATGTCATCAGACTTCAATTAAGCACCGCAACAATAATTGCTGGCAATAATAGATTAAGATCGAAGGCCAGAGATGAGTGCCCCAAATGGCCACATGAGAAAAGTTAATTCATAGCTTGATTTCTCATCTGAATAATCCAAGATAGTAGGAAACGTCATCTTTGCAGAAAATGTCTTGAAATCTTACCAAAGTCAGCATCAATTATAGCCAATTCTCGAATAAGGAGCATCCTCAAAACATCCATCGAGACTTCCTTCTCTTGAAAAGAAACCATATGACACCTAATAATAGCTAAGCACAAATCAAATCCAAACATTTTCAATGAGTGGTTTGAAGAAAAAACTTAGAAAATTAAATATGGAATAAATAACAGGAAATATCCTTAGTGAAAAGCTTTATGCCTCAGGAGCAGAAAGTCAAACTACAAGCTCTCACAATGCCCTTCTTCAGTCAATGGAGGGCAGTTTACAACATTCGCCTAGGCGGACATGCAATGAGGAGCATACTAATATTCTCAGACTTAGCAGCTCATCCATTTTGAGTCAATAACTCGGACTCAAATTGAAACAAGCTGCTGCTGTTAGTCCTAAACCAAATGAAAAGCTGGTTATGCGATACTTTCCCAAAGATTTCTTTAGCTAACAATAAATCAAACCAGCTAAAGTTAAAATTACTCTAAATCCTTAATATCTACCTAGTTAATGATAACGTATTCTATATGACCTTTAGACCTAATTCATATATCCTAAGTTAAGTAATTCTACTTAAAAATAAAGTTTAAAATGCAGCTCTTGCTAACCTTAATAAGAATTAAAGCGATTTCTTAATAATTTATTTGCTTTTAATATATTCACCTATCATTGTAGCAGGTATTCTCTCACCAAGGGGTTTTGGGGTTTTGGGGTTTTGGGG